AAAAACAGCATTTTAATAACAACTAAAGGTGACATAGATACTTTATTATGGTACAGTATTTAAATGTATGCCTGAAAAAACCATATTGCCCCTTTAATGGCTTAAAATGGTTAATGTGTTAAGCCAGAACTGACCATAAAATACATCTCCCATAACGCTTGTTGATTATTTTATCTGAAAAATGGTGATATCCCACCACTAGGTGGAGGTGCATAGGGTTCAAAAGTAGCCGTGAGCCGGCAAATTCAATGTGTAAAATCTACATTTGCACTGGGAAATGGGAATTTCCCACTTTCAAGTTGTAATTTAAACTGGAACGTCCTTGTCAAAAAGTAGGAGTTCAGAATTCAAGATAGGAGCTACTCATCACAACTCAACAGCTAGTAAAACTCTTTTACTTTTAATACTTAAGTACAAAAAATATCAGATACTTTAATACTTTTACTGAAGTAATATTCCTAAAGTAGACTTTAACTTTTACCAAAGTAATTTTTTGGTAAGATATTTGTATTTTTACTCAAATATCACTTTGTGGTTCTAATTGATTGCGTTGTGTTTAGGTGTGCGCACGCACAGCGGCCTACCTCGAGCTCATGCAGCAGGGAATCCAGGTCTGCGGTGGGACTCAGCAATAAGCCCCGTGTGTCTTGGATCCAACCTTTGACTAATCCCAGTTCCTCCTCAACCTCTTCTCGTTCCCTCAGCTCCTGCTGTACCTGAGCCCTGCTGGAGCGCACCTGCAGCAACAGGCTGAACACACACAGGAATAAATAAAATGAATCACAGCACTGCATGTTGAGTCTACATCAGTGTATAAAACAGTTTGTTACAACTATCTTTATAGCCCAAATGTTTATCATTAATTAATAGATTGTCTACCATGTAATTATAAGGCTTTTATTACATTTTATACAAGTAGTTTAGCTAGTTTGATGAATTGGCCTATTTTGAATTAGGTGCACTAAATTACAAATAGACTTAAAATTGTCTGGAGCTAAATTTAAAGGGGGTGTGTTTTTACAAAATCAACTCCTTTGAGCTTTATATCATGTTATAAAGTCTTTTCCTCATCAAAAACATACCCAGAGTGTTGCTTTGACTCATTCATGCTTGTTTGAGAAATCTTTGAATCTCCTGTAACCATGTGGAGCTGCCTAAACACTTGCTGGTGCAAAGCTCTGCCTATTTATATAAAGCTCCTGCTGAAGTGGGAGTGTTGGAAACGGTAGGGAGACAGAGGCCAATTTCAAGTCATTTGGATAGGCTCTGATGCAAAGTCAAATGTATTTTCTTATTTAATTTTGATACATACAGCATTTTCATMACAACTGAAGGTAAGTAGTTACTTCATTGTGACCCCGCCCCCCTCACCTGTCATATTGTTCCTGCATGCTTCTGATCTCCTGCAGGCACGTCGTCTCGTCGCGTCCATCCTCCATCACCACCTCCTTCTCATCCTCTCCTCTAAGACAGCGGGTCTGCTGCCCCAGCAGGGCCAGGATGGACTGCTCCTTCTCCACCTCCTGGCTGAAGGAGTSGTGGTACTCCAGCAGGCTCTGGAGCGTGGCCCTGGTACCTGCCTTCTCTACCTTGCTGTCTGGAACCCGACCGTGGAGGTCTTTGGACACGGAGCGGACCTTCTCCATCTGGGAGCCGGAAATGCCAGCATGTCAGTTAATGCAACAGATGGATCATTTCAAATGTGAGTAATAAATGGGGAAAAGGCATTTTGTAGAAACTTAGAACTTAGGCTGTCAAGAGAAAGACCGAGGACTCTGACATGTCAGGCATCTAAAAATCCTCAACATAAAACAATATTAGAGTTTTAAAAAGCTACTTGTATAAAATCAGACTGCAGAGAATGACATCATCATTAAGTGGACAGCAGGAATCTGCCACATATGAGGAAGTGGCTGCTCCCTTCGGTTTGACTTCATTTCCCGTTTAGGAACAGGGGCTTTGTGGGAAATCTCGGCAGCGGACAGAGTCTAAGCATGAATTAGGTCAAAAGGCGGGAAAACGCTTCATGACACACTCTGTTTTGGCAGGAAAACACAGCTGGCCTGAAGCCTGGAGTTACATCACAGCACAGCAACTGGTGTTGGGTTGTTACTGACCCAAATCTGCAGCTGCTGCAACAGTTTGTTATGATCATCAGTACATCGACAGTACTGTGCAAAAAAAGCCTCAAGTCATCCCTGATTTCTTTTGTTTTTTGACTCAAAGCAGCCAAGTTACCTTTGAATCTTTTTAAGTGTCTCATTTGACTTATCGTGATCATGTACAAGTCTTAACCACTAAGTTGAAACAGAAATTATACGTTTATTCAAAAATTAGATCCAATCTGACATCTTCTGTTTCAAATATCTATCTTCATGCTGATATTACCAACTTTTAAAAACTGTTAAAGCCAGAGGTCTTTCTTCTATGTTTATACTAAAGCATGGAATGACATTCGTCAAAAC